TTATTTCCAGATGACTGAACAGTTTTAGTTAAAGTTTTGATAGTTCTTAATTTCTATTTTTATTACATTCAGAAAATGAGATCTGTACAGTTCCTTATTTTGGAAATTTGTTGAATTTTCTTGGTAGCCTGGTATGTGGTTAATTAGATTAAATGCATTATTAAAATTCTCTGTGTTCTTATTTAATTTTGTATCTACTCACGGCCAAAAATCTCTCACGATGAGAAATTTCTGTCAAGTTTTCTTGGTAGCTTTTCCTCTTGTACTTTGACTATGCCCTTGTCCTGAGTTCCATTTAAAGGCTCCTTGGCCTGTGGGGTTTAGGACCGCTGTTCCTTCGTGTGCATCATCCGTGCCACACGCTGCCTACTAGTGAAGCTCAGAGCTGAAAAACACGTTCACGTTCAACACCTCACCTCATGCTCATATAAACCCATTAGACAGACAGGCAATTATCAGCATAATCACTATTTTACAAAAGTGAAAACTAAAACTCAATGACTTGCCCAAAGTCACAGCATTCAAGTCTGTGGGAAACTCCCAGCGTGGGGCCCTTTCCATTGTCCCACTCTGCATCACGGTAGCTCTGTCTCTTTAGCTGGATCATGCCTCCTTGAGGTCTGGACCACGTCTGTGTGCACCACAGAGCCTGTTGGTCCACAGGCAGCAGTGACTGGCTGCCCAGTCCCTGACAGCTGTCAGCCTTTTGCCCAGAGAAGGGTGACACTAACATACAGGAAAGGAAAGTCATTTACCGACGTGCAGCGAACAACTGTGATCGAAATGGAATCTGCGGCTTCCCTGGAAAAAAAAAAAAAAAGATAAAAGCATTTAGTGATTCTGGGTGGTGTGTGCGCATGTGAGGGGCCAAAGCAACCGGCAGTACTACAAAGCTGCCTCTTTCCCCTCAACCTCCTTGGCTTCATTAAAATCGAGACAGGCGTGGGGCAAGCAACAGTCCGCAAAGGAACTGAAGCCCCTTCAGACACTCAGCCCTAGAGCCTCGTCTACACCTACAGCCACCACCAACAACAAAATACCAAACCCACTGCCACTGAGTCGACCTCACAGCACCCCTAGAGGACACAGTGCAACTGCCCCAGAGGCTTTCCAAGGCATAAATCTTT